AGAATCTGTCAAGTTATAGTCATCATACTATAGTTGAGCAGCTTCTGATATCACTGTAGTTAGAGGAAAAACTACAGATTAACACTATATAGCAGTTTAAGGTATATTCTAACTGTAAGTAGTTGTCAAGATAACTGCATACAAGCATGCAACAAATATACACTTAAGTGCTATAAGAGTAATTGAATAAAGTCAGTGATGTGATATTAGATAGTATATAGTATTAGTAATAATTAATCCTAAAATGTAACTATAAATTTGTACTATATCAAATTAAAGTTAATAAACCAACTGGCATTGTTACCAAAGTTAAAAAAAAAAAATAGCTAATCCTAATTGCAAGTATTAGTTTTATTATAGTAATACTAAATTAGCTATAAAATAGATATGTAAAAGGTTTTGGAAAGTTTATCTCAAGAATAAAATAGTTCTAAAGTTAAGATAAAGATCTTAATATACTCAGTAAAGTTAATTGATAATCTGTTAGTCAATCAGAGAATGATCATAGTATGACATAATACAGATTACTTATAAAAATTAAAAGTTAGTAAATATAACATGCTTATATCTAAAACTTTTTTCATACTAAGTTAATCATCTTTTTTACTTAGACAAAAGTTATAAAGCTCATTGAGAATATCTAATAGTGATTAGATCATCTAAATTGGCCTGGTAGTTGCTAAGATATTATTAAAAAACATTATATCAACTATATAAAATTTTACGCAAACAATAGTATTGTTTATATATAATTTTATATAATTCGTATAACATTTTTTAACAATATCTCAGCAACTATCAGGCCGATTTAGATAATATAACCACTATTAGATATGTCTCAATGAGCTTTATAACTTTTGTCTAAATAAAAAATATGATTAACTTAGTATGAAAAAAAATTTAAATATAAGCATATTATATTTACAAACCTCTAATTTCTATAAGTGATCTGTGTCATATTACACTCTTTGATTAACTAACAGATTATCAATTAATATAAATTGTAAGTTTAGTAAATTTAAAATAAAATATCTAAGCAAATATATTAAATATGTCAATTAATAAAGAATCTTTAGTTAGACTCTTTAAATAATTAATATAAAATGTTACATTATATTGTACGTCAGAATGGAATTACTGTAGATTTGGAATCCACTTAGGTTGAAGTGGAATTCCAAATGTAAATCAAGTTGATACTTGATGTTTAATAAATCACTAATAAATTAATAAACCATTAAATTTAATAGCAACTTAAGTTAATTTCAAATTCGATAATGTAATAAATATATAATCGATTGACATAATGATAGTTAAAGTAAATTGTCTTATAATAAATTATTAAAAATATTTAAATAGAAATTTTTATTATTAACAACTCTTTTATCTGATGGCCAAACTTCAAGATTATTCTTTTTTATTTTATAATGCGTTTGATGAATTGCTTTTCAAATATCTTAGCAGCAAGTTAGCTAATAGGTGACATAAAACTTTTATTACATGCGAAGACTTTGATTTTTGTATTAAAGTTTTAAAAGATCTAACAAATACAATAATTGGAAATGCAAAGAATCATTACTGAGCAAAAAATACATTTGCTATACATGATCTTGGAACATCAGCAAACCCTATAATTTAACTTATTAAAATTGACTCAAACCTGCCTGTGTGTCCCATTAACAAGATATATAAAGTGTTGTGTAATTTGCACCAGAGGGTTTTGAAATATGTTGGTTTGTCAAAACTATGGGATGCAGTATGTGACTTTATAAAATTTTTATCTTATAGTCATTATGAGGAATGATGTTATTTAAACATTTTTTAGGTTTCAGAACAATACAGTTATATTCTACAGTCTTTCATAAAGGAGTTCGTAAGAAATTGCACAACATATGCAACAAGAAGGAATTTTCCAAATCCAGTGGCTGCAAAGCCAATAATCTCAAACTCCTTTCTTAATAGAGTTCAGATAGATCTAATTTCTATGACTAGTATACCTGATAGTGACTATTATTATATATGTTATATGCGTAATCATTTTATACGATATTCCTAGGCTCGAGCCATAACAATAAATAACCAATTAAGGTGGCAATTTTTTTTTTAGATGTTTTCATCTGTTTTGGTGCCCTGATTATTCTTTAGACCAATAATGGTCAGGAGTTTACTGTGGAAGTAATTTATGAATTATTAACTATATAGCCTGATGTTCATATTATTAATGGCCATCCAAAATATCCTCAAAGCCAAGGATTAGTAGAATATGCAAATGATATTCTTCAACAAAAAGTGTCTAAATAGATGGAGGATACACAAAGAAAGAATTAGGCTTGTGCTATGCCATTGTGCTGTTATAAGTGTTTTTGTTCTTATAATTAGATTTGTGTATGTTTAATTTTTTTTTTATTCTTATTTTTAATTTTTTTATAGATGCTATGAATATTCAAATGTCATGACAAATAAAAAATAGCCCATATGCTTTAGTATTTGGACAAAACTCCTTGTGCTATTTCACATTATTAAAGGAAATTAAAGATTAGCATATTAATTCAGAAGATGAGTTACTTGAGAATTGGTTCAAGGCATCTGAGCTCCAAGATGATTTTGATCAACAAAAAATCATAGAGTCACTCTTAGGAGCCGTAGCATTAAATATCGAGGTATAGTAAATATTTTGTTATATGTATTATATTACATAATGCAATCTGATTATAATTCAGTTTTATATTACTATTACATGCAACCAGTTTGACCTTTATATGTATTTAAATTAATGCTTTATTAAATTTTTTTTTTTTTTTTTTTAGGAACAATATTTGCTTGAATTGTCTAATGAAAGATTGAATGAAGAAATAATGTATGAAAAATTGGATGAAATAAGAGATGAAATAATAGATGAAGAGTTTAATGAGAGATTTGAAGAATTGGACAAAACATTTGATAATATGATGAAAGAGATTTTAGAAAACAGAGTGAGTGAATAGGTGGATATTAGTTTGGATAAAGGGTTGAATGAAAGGACAAATGAATGGTTGAACAAAAGATTAAGTGAAAAGGAAAATAAAAGATTAACAAATAAAAATGATGTAAGCACTTAATAATATTGGTTTAAATAAATAAATAAAATTAAAAAACTTAATAAAATAGTTACCTAATGAAAGTGTGTTAGTTGAATTATTAGAGAATGAAACATTTAGTAAAAGTTTACTTAAAAATAATCATGAAAGTTTACTTGAAAATGATTGTGAAAGTTTGCTGGAAAGTGATTGTGAAAGTTTACTTGAAAGTGAACTTAAAATTTGTCCAAGCAAAAGACACAAAACTTCAGTTTTAATAGCTTTTACTTCAAACACAAATATTCAGGTAATTGTGTTATTTTTAATTTGATATTATAGCATGAATTTTATTTTATTTTTTTGCAGTCATAAGATAAACATATTCAAAGAACATCAGCATATGAAGTTTATCGATGCATTGCTACAAAGTCTCTTGAACAATATTGCAATAATATGAAGGCACAACTTAATAAGTATAATAAAAAAGTTGCAACCAAGTATAACATTGGAAATTTAGTGCATATTAAGATTCCAGTAATTGACAGGACACATAATGATCGAAAAATGCTCATCTGCAAAATTCTTGAAGTCTTGGAAAATGATACATACAGGCTTGGATATAAATCTGACATTATTAGAATTACATACAATGCTAATGAATTTCTTTTACTAGGTCCCAACAAGTTTTCAGAATTGGATAATATTCTTTTAATGCTCATAAGCATTTGAGAAGCATCTATTATGCAATCCTCTTCACAAGTAGGCAATATTAAATGCAATTGCAAGAATACATGTGATAAAAATTATTGTAAATGTAAAAAAAGTAAATTGCCTTGTGATAGTAGCTGTCATCCTAGTAACCATAAATGTAAAAACATTTTTTAATGGTTTTAAATTTAATTAATTTGAATGTGTTGCATTAAGTAAAGCTTATCTTGAATCAACTTAAATTTTGAAACAATGTACTCAATAAAATAATTTAGAATCCACTTAATTTTACTATAAGTTGAATTAGAATTCTTTAGCAACTTGAGTGCAATTTAGAATTCTATTATGACCTATGTTTATTCAGAATAAATCTAAGTAGATTCCAAATTTACAGTAATTCCATTCCAATGTACAACATATATAACTAATTTTACACTTTTTTTATATTAGTTTTATATAGAAATATATTATTAAAAAGTCTTAATAAAACTTAAAAAATCTAAGAAATTATCTTAAAAAAAAATTTATTTAAATAATTATATAAGAAAACTTTTCTTAGTAGTTTAAAGAAATTTTTTTTATTGTTACTATTTTGTCTTGTTGTTTTTTTTTTAATCTTATTTTATTTATTTTGTTTTTTTTTATAATTTTCTTGTTATATACAATATATATTTTTTCTTTTATAATACTAAATAATAATAATATTTTATTAGTTTTTTACATTACTTTTATATATAGTTACATTATATTTATATTACTATCTTTAAACATATAATATAATATTATATTTATACTTCTTTATATATATTACAAACATTATTATTAAACTTTAGAAAGTTTGTAGATTATCTTATTATATTCTAATTTTTTCTTATTTTTAGTCTAACAACTCTTTGTCTACTATCTACAGTAATTATTTCTTCTTTTAAATTAGTTAATTTCTATAATTTTTTGCTTTTATTGCTACCAATTTAGTATATATAATATAACATACTTCTTGGTATTCTATTAGCATATTTAAATGTTTTATAATCTGAATTATCAATTAGTAGTTTATTATACATTTTTTTAGTTTTATTTTTATAATTAGTTTAGTCTGTAACTTGATTGCATATGCCTTTTGCAAACTTTTTGTAAATATATCATTAACTATATACTAATATACTACTAGCTTGATGTTACAACAGTCCTAGAACTTTGACTTATTATATATAATTATGATGTTTATTATCTAAGTTGTAATATATGATCATTTTAGAAAATATTTGTCAAGTACTTTAGAGATATCTATTTAAAATATTCCAATTTTAATTAGACTAATCTTTTGTTATAAATCTTCTTTATATGTACTACATTACTCATTATTTCAGTTATAGCTATATTATATTACTCTTTTAATCAAGTATTCTGTAAATTAAATATAAAGATGTTAGTATTTTCTGTTTTCTTAAGCTTATTTGTACAATACTGTCATGTAGCTAAATTTTTTATAATATTACTATTATATATAACATCTTCTTTCTGCTAAGTTAATCTCCTTTTAAGAATTTTTACAAGGCTTTGCAACTGATTTGATTTTTATTTTTAGATTATAAAGTTAAAATTCTAAAATTCTGTTTCTAGTTTAAATTGAATTATTAATCTAGTCTGTGAAAAGTTAGCAGCTTTACTGTTAAGCTATAGGCCTAACTCCTAATATATATATTAATTTAAAAACTAACTTTATTTATGTTTAATATTAATCTCTATCTTATGTTTTTATTTTTATTTTAATTTTTGTTTATTTTAATAATATATATATAAGCAAGAGTTTTTTTATTTTTTAAAATTTTTAATAAGGATGGCGATCCTAGTGTAGTAGTTAGGTTGTCATTCTTCAAGTGGTAGGTCTAAGGTTCAAATCCCACCTATGATAAAATTTGAAAATTATATCTGCATTATAGTAACTGTCTTCTGTCAATCAGTTGGCCTTATGTGACTGTTATTCAGGTACACCAAGTCAGGTCCCTCTGACATTAGGAGCTCAGACATCTATATGAAGTGTAACATTACATATACATAGAGGAATGTTTATCAGTGTTGCATAAGACTTCAGTGCAAACTCATGATAAGACCATCAGGCATAGAAGACTAAGAAACCAAGATGACAGAAACTCATTTGGAAATCCTAAGTAAAGAGATAGCATGAACTTTTGACAGTACCATTAGACTGGTTGAAGTCTATGAAACACCTTCATAGAAGCCAAAGATTAAAACTAGACATCAAATATATATAGAGGAGCATATAACTAACCAGGTTCCAGATTTGCTAAAGAAAAAGGATATATAAGTATACCATATCGGGCCATCTGAATTGGTAGTCTGGAATGAGACCAATGGTTCTGAGTTGTGGCTAGTAGGAGATGATGAAGAAGATGCCAGAAAAAAAGGTACTGGGGTTCTAGTGAACTTTACAAGGGTAAAAATAGTATAATATAGCAGTTAAACAGGTAACCTTTATAACTGCAAGTGTTAGTTAACTATAGTGTATTGCATAAAACTAGGTCTATATGTGTGAAACATAAAGGCTCTAATAAGTTTCCTATTAAGAATAAAGTAGTCCTAAGGGTAATGATAAGCATCAGGAACTTGGATGGGTGTAGCCTTGAGATGTTCTCATAATACAAGGAGGATTGCATATGCAGAGAGTTTAAATAGGCAAGACTCTTAGTTGGCTTGCAGGTATGGCAACTAGTATAGAACTTATATAGTAATGTGTAAGCAGACTACTTAAATTAGGCACCAAAAGTGTACATGTGGCTAGTTGTAACCTCCAATGTAAAGGAGCCCTTAAAGGCACCTATTTTCTAACAAAACTTGAATAAAATATCACATTCCTAAAATAAAGACTTTAATTATAAAAAAAAATTTTTTTTAATTAACAGAATCAAATACCATTAGATTATAGTTTTTTTAATATTTTTATTGACATTATTAATAGTTATTTTATTTATATTTTATTATTAAATAAATTACTAAATTTTTAGATTCTTATTATATTTAGTATTTTAGTTAAATTAAATTATAAACAAAAATAAAATAAAATAAATACAGATATAGATTCAAAAAATCAAGGCAAGTTATTTATATAATCAAATTATTTATTATAAAATTCCTACTATTATCTATTTATTTATTTATTTATTAGATATTAGATCTAAATTTATTTAAATAATTGTTTTACAGGGGTGTGGCGACCTAGTGAAGTGGATAGGTTGTTAACCCCCAAGTGGCAGGTCTAGAGTTCAAATCCCAGTAATAGCGAAAATTTGCAATTCTTTCTGTGTTATGGCTAACTGTCTTCTGTGATTGGTTAGGATAAGATACCTGTAACCTGTGTCATACTAGCATGACTGGAAGGTTTAGACACTCGTACAACATTGTATGAGGAAACACAAACCAGTACCAGATGGTATGAACCCAAGATAAGTCCTTAGGCCATGTAAATTAAGGAAACCAAATAGGAAGATGGAAGCCTACTTGGAAGACCCGAGTAGAGAGGTAACCTGAACCTTTAATGGTGCTACTGTAAAGACTAGACTTATGAAACAGAGCTAGAACTTGT